ATTTAATAATTAAAAATAATATCTACCAAACGTCTAAAAGAGATTTATAGGAACTTTATATAACTTTTCAAAAGTTTCCAACTAAAAAATAAGTTCCAAATGTAAATACTAAGGTCATGTTTAAGCCATATTATTTTTTTATTCTCACCCTTCTACTCATTTTTAACCACACATTCTTCAATAAAATAATATTTTCCATCACATCAATAATTTTTCATTCTTTTTCAACCACATATTCCACATCACATCAACAGTAAAAATGTATTTTTTTTCAAAAATGTGCACCAAATGGGGGTTAAATAGTAAATAAATAGTATAGGAACATAAATCTTATCTAACTCTTTATCAGATTCCAATTCAATATCTTCTTTTTTATCTATTTCGTTCTTCATGTCATCCAATGCAAAAATCCTCCTCATCGAGCTCCCACATTTCATTCTGAGCATTTTTAGTACCTCTCGAAGTTTGTAAGATATCATTTTCCACCCCATCATGCTCCTTTGGTCAAAGCTTCAAGCGAATGTTTTGAATTTAGGGCAGACGAAGTGAAGAAATTAGCCTTTAAGTTTTAACTTAAAAGAACTGTAAAAAATTTATAAAAAGGAAAAAAGATACCAGGCGCGCATTATCAGTCAACAATCACTGTTGACCACTTGGCTTAGCGTTTTCGTCGTGCGTCAAGCCTAGGCCCACCTTTTAGAACTTTGACTTATGTTATGCTAGTTTGTTAGAATTTAGGTGTGATCTGAATTCCTTGTTGAAGTAATTGAAGAATTCTAATTGAAGTGTACGTCAAGATGAATTCAGTTTGGAATGCTATTAGAGTCTTATTTTAAGTTGAAATTCTATTTGGAAGCCATATTGGGAGTTTGAATTTATATTGGATTTGAAGAGATTGAAATTATGGACTGAGAAGAAAAGTCGTCGCATTTTCGCTAGTCTACCGTTAGCTGGTCGTTCAAGCAACACCTGTAGGTTTTCTTTTGAAACTTGGGCGTCCTCCTGGTGCTCGAGTGACAGGGTTATCCGCCTCAGGCCCTTTTAGCCTTTTTACTCGTTTTTTTTGCATTCTACTTCAATTACAACTCATCTATTAGGGTTTGAACATCGCCCTACATAGTTGCCTATATATATTTGGCTCTTCTATACAATTTGGCGTGAGAATAGGGTGAGAAAAGTGATTACTAGTTTCTAGGATCATCGTAATATTTCTCAATCTTCATTATTTGTGGTGCAATAAAATCTCCTAATTCATATGCCATATTTCTTGTCTTCGTTTATACTTTTGCTTGTGATCATATACTTCATTATTATGCCATATAATTTTCACATTTCAATTCAGTGGTTGGTTTCATATCAAATGCTATCGAGCAATACGTGATCATTGAATTCCCAACAATTGGTATCAGAGATTTTTGGGCATTACTAACACAACAGGTGGTATCCAGTGTTCTAAAATGCGTAA